CCCACCCCCACATCAGACCACCAGGATCCCCCAAAACCCACCCCGACACCCCAAAATCACACCCATAAACACCAGGATCCCCCAAAACCCACCCCAACACCCCAAAATCACACCCATAAACACCAGGACACCCCAAAACCCACCCCAACACCCCAAAATCACACCCATAAACACCAGGATCTCCCAAAACCCGCCCCCATAAACACCAGGACACCCCAAAATCCAACCCCATAAACACTGAGATCCCCCAAAATCCACCCCCATAAACACCAGGACACCCCAAAACCTGCCCCCATAAACACCAGGATCCCCCAAAACCCACCCTGACACCCCAAAATCCACCCCCATAAACACCAGGATCCCCCCAAACCCACCCCCACATCAGACCACCCGGACACCCCAAAATCACCCCCACAAGCACTGGGGTACCCCAAACTCACAGCCCTGCAAACGCTGGGACACCCCAAACCGACCCCCACATCAGACCACCAGGACACCCCAAACCCAATCCCCCATGACCATCGGGACCCCCCTAAATCCACCCCGGGCCCCCCCAACCTGCTCGTAGGAGATGGGCGCCTGTTTCTGGTGCGAGAGCTCCAGGAGGGTGCTCAGGTCTGTCCGAAGGTCTGTCTTGCACCCGATGAGCAGCACCCGTGTGTTGGGACAATAATCCAAGATTTCTGTCTTCCACTGAGGGGTGAGGAGCTGCTCTCAGGGACAGGGGACCTCAAAACCCTCTCCCTGTCACCCCAGAGGGTTGGTGTCTCCATGTGCCAGCACACTCCAAACCCCACGGAGATACCCCCAGGACAGTGTCCCCACGTCCCTGAGCCCCCCGAACCCCAAGGAGACACCCCCAGGACAGTGTCCCCACATCCCTGAGTCCCCCAAACCCCACGGAGATACCTCCAGGACAGTGTCCCCACGTCCCTGAGCCCCCCAAAGGGATCTCCAGGGACAGTGTGTCCCAGCCCTGTATCCCCAACTCCCACAGGAACTTGGCTCAATCTCCCTGGGCACCACAAACCACACAGGGACTTCCCAGGGCAGTGTCCTGACAGCCCTGAAGCCCCAAAACCCAGATGGGACTCCCCAGATCAATGTCCCTGTATACCCCAAACCTCACAGAAACCCCCTGTGGACCGTGTCCCTGCATTCCTGAACCCCCAAACCCCACAGGGACCTCCTAGGACAATGTCCCTGTGCCCTCCAAACCCTGCAGGGATCACCTCAAATCATTGTTCCCCTGTCCCTCCACCCCCCAAAGCCCACAGGGACCCCCCCAGCTTGCCTGAGCCCCCTCCCCACCTTCTTGGCTGCGCTGTCGAGGGTCTCGGGGCGGCTGACGTCGAAGCAGAGCAGGACGGCGTCCGAGTCGCTGTAGCACAGGGGACGCACGTTGTCATAGTAGGGAGAGCCTGGGGGAAAAGGGGGTGTCACCACTCAAACCCCCACCCCAGGGACCCGGGAAAGGGGGTCTGGCAAAGGGACACAGCCCCCTGTCCTGGCCAGGGTGGGAGCACAATTCTAGAGCCCCCCAAAAGGGACAAAGACCCCCAAAACAGACACAGCCCCATTCCTGCTTGGGGTGGGGGAACAGCTCTAGAGCCCCCCAAAAGGGACAAAGACCCCCAAAACAGACACAGCCCCCCATTCCTGCTTGGGGTGGGAGACACAGGTCTAGAGCTCCTCAAAAGGCCCAGGGGGGTTGCACAGCTCTTGAGCCCCCCAAAACAGATACAGCCCCTAAAACAGACACAGCCCCATTCCTGCTCAGGGTGGTAGCTCTAGAGAACCCCAAGAACGACATAGGGACATAGCTCTAGAGCCCCTGAAAAGGGACACAGCCCCTCAAAAGACACAAAGCTACCTCCTGCCTGGGGTGGGGTGCACTCACTTGGAGCCCTCCAAAAAGGACAGAGCCCCCAAAAACAGACACAGCCCCAGTCCTGCCCAGCATGGGGGTTCACAGTTCTGAAGAACCCCAAAAGCGACAGGGGAGCACAGCTCTAGAGCCCTCTAGAACAGGCACAGCACCTCAAAAGGGACAGGGGAAAACACACTTTCAGACCCCCTCGAAAAAGACAAGCCTTATTCGTGCCTGAGGTGGGTGCACCGAGCTCTAGAGCCCCCCAAAAGGCACAGAGCCCCCCAAAACAGACACAGCTCCCCAAAAGGGACAGACGGACACACAGCTCTAGAGCCCCCCAAAAGGGACACAGCCCCCCTCGTGCCGGGGAGAGGGGCACAGCTCTGGAACCCCCCCAAAACGCCACCTCCGTCCCCGCAGCCCATCAACGTCGCATCGCGGCTTCACGAGGCACAGGGAAATGGATCCCGCGGTGTTTATGTAACAGCCCCCCCCGCCCCTCATTTTGGGGAGCCCCGGCAGCACCGAGGGGTGTCGGGGTGCGGGGGGGAGCCGGAGGAGGGGGTGGGACACGCTGCCACCCCCTCGGGGTCCTCGGGGACACGGAGCCAGCAGCAGCGCAGCCGGGACTGCGGGGGACGCGGCGCGGGGGGGTGAGGGAAGGGGTCAGTGGGGTGGGGGGGTCCGGGATGTCCCTCCCCTCCACCCCCCCGACCCCCCAAAGGCCTCGGAGGGGTTTCGCAGCCCAGACGCTCCGTGCACAGAATAGCAAAGAGGCTGCGCCAGCGCATCGCCATGGCAACCGGGGACCGGCGGGGACCCCCCCCCGCCCGGGGGGGACACTGCAGCACCGGGCAGGGCTGCCCCGACCCCCGCAACTCTTCGGGGTGCCCAGGGAAGGGCAACACCGGGATCTCCCATAATCCTCCCAATTGACAGGCAGGGCGCAGGGAGCACCCTGGACCCCACCCGGGATCCCCCCAAGGAAGGGGCTCAGCCTCCTGTGACCCCCCCGGTGTGTCTGTACCTCCCACCCTGGGGTCCCACCTGGGGAGTACTTGCGCCCCCTACACCAGGGATACGACCCTAGACCTGAAACCCCCCCCAGCGCGGCCACCGAGCTTCTCTCCTCCGCCGCAGGGACCACAAAACACCCCCGGCTTCCCAAAACACCACCGAGACCACACCGAGCACACACCGAGACCTCCCCCCCGCGCTGCAGGTCCCCAAAACACCCTCGGGACGCCAAACCACCCCACTGCAGCGACCCCCCGCTCACCGCAGCCTCACCACCCCCCGAAACCCCAATCCCCCTTCCCCAGCAAACAGCCCGATCACTCCCGCCAGGGCCGGGGCAGCCCCCGCCGCACTCCACCGGTACCGGAGCCCCCGCCGGCCCCCTGAACGTGCACCGCGCGTCTCCCCCCGGTACCGGAGGTGTCCCAGAGGCTCAGTTCCACCCGCTGCTCCTCGCTGGCCAGACACGCCGTGTAGTTCTCAAACACGGTGGGCACGTACGTCTGCAATGGCACCGAGAGCGTCAGCGCCCGGTCCCGCTTTGCCGGTGCCCGCTGCCGGTTCCCGGTGCCGATCCTGGGCTCACCTCGGGGTAGCAATCCTTGGCCAGCACCTGCAGCATGGCCGTCTTGCCGCACTGCACGTCGCCCACCAGCACCAGCTTGCACCTGACCGGCGCGGCCGGTGCCGGCCTCCGCTCCCGCATGGCGGCGGCCCGCACAGACCCCCCGCGCTCTCACCCACCCACCGCCCTGCGCCCCGCCGCCGCAGCGCCCTTATATACCCCGCCGTCTCCAGGGCCCGCCCACGGCGGCGCCCGCCCGCCAATCACCGCGGGGAATCCCGGAGCGCCGGCCAATAGCGGAGAGGCGGAACCGGCGGGACCCGCCCCGTGGGGGTGCGAGTGCGCTCTTTCCCGCCAGGGGGCGCCCGTGCGGGTCAGGGCGGAAGTGCCGCCGAGGCCCCGCCCCCGGCCAGAAGCGGCCGTTGCCGGGAGACCGGAGGGACGCGGGAGCGGGACCGGTACCGGGACAGGGACCCCCAAAGGGGGGTGGGACACCCCAAAGGAGAAGATGGGGGTGGGAAAGGGGCGGTGGGCGCTGAGGGAGCTTGGGAGGTAGGGGGGGTGAGCCTGGGAGGGCTCTGGAGATGGGGATGGGCAGCGGGAAATGGGCCTTGGGGAAGGCCTGGGGAGGGAGATGGGAAACGGGGCTGGGGGGGGTCACTGGAAGGGGAGATGGGGATGAGCAGGGGTTGGTGGGGTCTGGGGGTACTCCCTAGTGGAGGGGGGATCACTGGGAGATGGGGATGAGCAGAGGTTGGTGGGGTCTGGGGGTACTCCCTAGTGGAGGGGGAGTTAGGGGTGAGCAAGGAAACGGGCCTGGGGGAGCCTGAGGAGGGAGATGGGGGTGGGCAGAAGGTTATGGTGTGTGGGGGTACCCCATAGTGTGAGGGGAGCTGGAGCAGGAGGTGGAGATGGGCAGGAGGAACGGGCCTTGGGGGGGCTGTGGAGGGGCTGCCACACAGACCCCAGGCATCAGCCGACCCCTTCTGCCGTATCCCCTTGTCCAGCCATGGCGGGGCCCCGTTCCACTGCCCCCATGGCGGCCGAGGCCGAGCTGCTGCTGATGCAGAAACAAGCGCTGGCTGAGGAGGAGGCGGCCAAAGCCAAGCGGGAGCTGCTCACTCGCTTCCTGCAGGTCTGGGACCCCACTGCAGCCTCCCCTGATCGCCTCCAAACTCCCTAAGCCCCCAAACCACCTTTCCCCAGCAAATGCCCCCATCATCCCCACCTGGGCTGGGGCTGCCCCTGTTCTGCTGCACCCCCTGGCACCAGTGGCAGCTCCAGCTCCACTCCTGCCCCTTTCCCACCTTCCACGGCCCCTCCACAGGAGAAGCTGTCCCGTGAGGAGCAGAGCAGCATGTGGGGTCTCCACAAGGTCCGCACGCTCTGGCGCTTGGCCCAGCGCAAGACCAAGGACCAAGAGCTGCGCCAGGACATCGAGATCCTCAGTCAGACCTTCACACGGGTCATGGACTGCAAGGATGGCGTCATTGAGGTGGCTGCGGGACTGGCGGGGTGGGAGGGTGCCAGGGAACACCCATGACCCCCCAAAACCTCCCCAGACGCTGGTCAGGGACCTGGAGGAGGCAGAGGAGCAGCAGAACCGAGCCCTGAGCAGCCACCTGCACCTCACGGACCAACTGCTGCACCTCCAGCGCTGCCGCCTGGGCTACCTGGAAGAAGGGTTTAATGCCCAGGTGGGCGCCCTGGAAGCCGAATTTGAGGCTGAGAGGTGTGGAATTTCAGGGGGAGAAGGGCAATGGGGCAGCAGTGGCACCCATGGGCTCTCCTGGGATGGATTTGAGCCTCCCCTGGCCCCACAGGGATCCCTGCAGCCTCTCTGTCAGGGAGGAAACCCCTTTGTCCTGCCATGTGTCCCCACAGAAGGGCCATTCTGAAGCAACAAGAGTGGGAAAGCTGCTGCCTGCAGGACATGGCACTGGCCATGGAGCAGGATCACACCAGGAATGACCACGAGGCCCTGCTGAACTTCCAGAGCGCCCGGGACGACATCAAAAACAAGGCAGGGGGCACAAGGGAGCATCAAGGGGCTTTTAGGGCTGGCAAGGGAGGTTTGGGGTGTAACCTGTGTGTCCCCAGTGCTGGCAGGACCAGCAGTACAGCCGGCTGCAGCTCGTGGCCAGGCTGGAGGGGCTGTGGGAGCAGATCCAGAGCGCCCGGCGGAGCTACGCCCAGAGCACGGAGAAGAAAAAGGTGGAGTTTGATGAGCTGAAAAGGAAATGTGAGAAGAGTTCCCGGGAGATTGACGTACAGGCGAAGAAGCTGCAGAAGCTCCAGGTTTTGGCGGGGTGCTGGGTGGTTGTGGGAGTGGGGTCACCCGCATTCCCCACTATTTTTCCATATGATCACGGAATTATTGAGGTTGGAAAAGTCTTTAAGACCATCAAGTCCAACCGTTCTCTCAGCACTGCCAAGGCCACCACTAAACCACATCCCCAGGGGCTACATCCATGTGTTTTTTGAGCACTTCCAGGGACGGTGCCTCCACCACTGCCCCAAACAGCCCATTTCAATGCTGGGCCACTCTTTCCAGGAAGGAATTTTCTCCAATACCCAACCTGCTGTTTCACCAGGACTTGGTTACAGCCAGTAAGGACCAGATCGCAGCTCACCTGCAGGAGAGCGAGAAGCAGTGCCAGCACATCCAGGAAGATAAGGATCACGCCCTCCAGAAGCTCCAGAAGCTCCGGGCTCAGATCAGCCAGGCCGGGGCCACAGCTCACACCCACCTGGTGACGCTCACCTGCCAGTGCAGTGCCACCCTCAAGGTGCTGCAGCAGGTGGTGGAGAAGGTGAGTTGGGCAGTGCTGAGTGGGGATGTGGGGGCCCAGTGTCCTGCTGTCCCTTCCCACCTGCCCTTCCTGGCGTGTCCCCCCAGGCCCAACGCATCCTGCGCCTGGCTGAGATGTGCCGCAGGCTGGAGACAGAGGAGGAGAAGGTGCTGCCCTTCTACCCCTCCTCACTGTCTGAGTCGGAGCAGCAAAAGGCCCTCAGGGTCCTGGAGGAGACCCCCATTGAGCCTCTGGCACGGGTGAGGAGGCACCACCACAGTCCACAGGGAACGAGGGCTGTGATTCAGCCCTGGGGATCACCCAGCTGGTGCTGGGCAGGCTGGAGACCCCAAACTCTCTCCCCAGGCCATGAAGGACTACATGGGGCTGGAGCGGTTCTGGCAGAGGTTCAACAAGGCGAAGCTGGAGGAGAAGGCGCTGGAGCAGGCGCGGGCAGCCCTGGCAAACAGGAACCAGCACCTGCGTAAGCTGCTCCAGCAGTACCTGTCAGGGGCTGCAGTCAGCCAGAAGGTGCCCAGAAACCCCCACCCCATCCTCACCATCAAGCAAAAGCCACATCCCAAGAAATGAGCCCCACATGGTGGGGAAGCCACACTCAGGGACACTGGGCATGGAGCACCCCAACAGCCTCTGGGGAGGGGTCAACCACCGGGACCCCATTCCTGGCTCCACCAGCTCCAGCTGAAACTCCCTGGCAGACCAGGGACCTGCCTGGTGTTTGGGGACTCCAGGGACTGTCACTGCCTGGATAAGCCTTAATAAAGCAAAACTGCCTGAAAATGTGCTCCAGGATCTTATTTCTGGGATTCATTGAGTCTGTCACCTCCCGCTCAGGTCTGACACAACCCATCGAGGCCCTGGAGCAGGCAGGGACCTGATGGGTGCACAGCCCCTTCCCACTGCTCTGTGCCCATCTCTGTCTCAGGAAGAGCAGCCACGGAGCAGCCACAGGTGCCAAGAGGAAGGTTTTATTTCTTTTTGGCTTTGTTTCTCTTCTCCTCCTTCTGCTTTTTCTTGGAGAGCTTGGGGCTGCTGGCCTTGCGGTACAGGTGGAACCCGATGAGCCCCAGCAGTGCCGGCACCAGCCCCAGGCACAGCAGTGGCACCACCTCGTTCACCATCTTCTGCCAGTAACTGGCCCGGGACAGCCCCACCAGCTCCACCTCGAACCGCAGCACCGCGTCACCTGCAAGGGGGGCACAGCCTGAGCGGGGACCCCTCAGAGACCCCACGCGGACCCTGGGGGCTGCACTCACCTGGGATGGTGGGGGGGGAGCCCCGCTTGCCATAGGCTAAGTGAGGGGGAATGATGGCTCTGCGCTTCTCCCTGCCACAGTGAGAGCATTGGTGCCACAAATCGTGGTGGGGACGCTGCGGGGGGACACTGCCCATCCCCGTGTCCCCGTCCACACTTACCCCACACACATGTCCAGCAGACTCTGCTCCAAACCTGTAACAGAGTGGGGCAAGGGTGAATGGGGCTGGTCGAGATTACCCTGGTTACCCCCAGACCCCCGAGCCCCTCACTCACCGGGAATGACTTGGTGCTTGCCCAGCTCCACCTGGAGGGGATCCCGGCTCAGTGAGGAGTCGATGATCCGGCCATCCTCCAGGCTGCCCTGTGGGGGCATGGCCACGTGTCACCCCTGGGGACACAGCCCTGGCACTTTGTGTGGCTGCCAGCGTGCTCCCAGTGCTGCCCTGGTGCTGATCCCAGTCCCTGTGGCCCCTCTGTGCCATCCCTGGGCTGATCCTAGTCCCGCCACACTCCGTGTCACTCTGGGACACCCTCACCGCTCCCAGCGCCCTCCCAAGGTAATCCTCGGGCTGATCCCAGTGCCATGGTTGTCCCATGCCAGCCCCAGTGTCACCCCTGTGCCACTCAGGTGCCACCCAGAGCCCATCCTGGGGCTGCCCCTATGCCGGTCTCGGTGGCGCTACGGCACCACCCCCTTGTCCAGCCCAGGGCCGTCCTCATGCCCAGCCCGGTACCACCCCTGCGCTCACTCCGGTTCCACCGCGGCACCGTCCCGGTATTTCCCACCCCGGTACCGCCCCATTGCCCACCCTGGTACCACCCCCGGTACCGCCCCGGTGCCGGCTGAGGCCCCCCGCCGGTGCCGGTGCCGGTGCCCCCCGCCCCGCCCGCCGGAGCGCAGTGCTGACGTGTTCCTCCCGCCCGCACCGTGTAGTGGATGTGCACCGTGTCCCCCGGCGCCGACAGCTCCGTGCAGCCCTCGGGAGGGGGCACCTGCAACGGGGAGGTCACGGGGAGCCGGGACGGGGCCCCCTCGCCTCGGGGTCCACGCAGCCCCCGTGCCCACGGGTCCCCCGAGCGCTCCGAGAGCCGATCCCCCACCCGAGCCCCCTGTCCTCGGTGCGCCGCGTTCCTCCGCCACAGCCCGGTCCTCCCGGTGCCCTCCCATCGCAGCCCGGTCCTCCCGGTGCCCTCCCATCGCAGCCCGGTCCTCCCGGTGCCCCGTGTCTCGCCCCCGTCGCAGCCCGGGCCTCCGGTGCCTCCCCCCCGCCCCGTGGCCAGGCCGGACTCCCCGGTGTCCCCCGAGCAGCACCGTCCCGCCGGTGCCGCGTGTCCCGCCGGTGCCGCCGTCCCCTGTCGGTCCCGCCCCGGTCTCAGCTCCCTGCCCAAGGGGGCCGCGTGGGTCCCCGGTGCCCGGTGCCTTCCGCGCAGCCCCGGTTCCCCCGTCCCCCCCGGGCTCACGATCGTTTCCAGCCGTAGCTCTCGGGCGCCGGTTTCGGTTTCGCTCTCGGCGGCGCGGGAGAGCGGCGGCGGCGGCAGCAGCAGTGCCAGGAACAGCAGCGCGGCGGGGAACGGCATGGCCGGGCTGGCGGCGGAGGAACGGGGACCGGGACCGGGACCGCCCCCCACCTCGGGCCCCGCCCCCGGGACCGCCCCCACACCGAGACCGGCCCCGGGACGGGCACCCGCAGCTACTCCGGGCCGCCGCGGAGCTGGGGACAGGAGGATGCTCAGGACCGGCCTCGGTGCCCGGTGCCACGCGGGCCCCTGCGCTCCGTGCGGACCCCGGCCCGCAGCTGGGTCCGCCCCTGCCCGGGGATCGTTCCGGCGGCTTCGGCCCACACCGAGCGGGGGTCCGGGTGAGGGTCAGAGTGGGGGTCAAGGCGGAGGGTCTGGGCGGGGATCCGGGCCGGGGGACGCGTCCCAGGCCCCCGTTGGGTGCAGCCCCCGGTGTCCTGGCACCGCCGGTGCCAGCAGGCGGCAGCACAGCCCGGGGAAACCGGCACCGACCGGGGGCTAGGACCCCTCCCCGAGTCCAGAACCCTTCTCCAGCACCCCACGGGTGCAGGTCACTCCCTGTCCCCGCACTTCTGCAGCTCTTCCAGCCCCGGCTGTGCAAGACAAGGGAAGCCGAGCCCCGAGCCCGGGCTGCGGGCCTCGCAGGCCGGCTGGAACCCGGTGGGACGGAACCTGCCCCAGATCCCCCGTCCCTGTGCCTGGGGATACCCAGCCCTTAGGGCAGAGCTGGGAACACAGGGAATCCCCCCGGTCTGGCGGGGTCACACCGGCACACGGCGGGATCTCCTGCCCGGTGCCCGGGGGATGGCCTCATTGCCGGCACTGGTGTCACCGGCCCCGGTGCAGCACTACGACGGTGACGACGGTGCAGCTCCCGGACGACGGCATCGGCACGCTGGCCCCACCGGCGCACCCACATACCAGCCTCGGTTGCCGAGAGGTGGGGAAGCCGGGCTGGCGGCTGGGCCCGGGGCGCTAATGGGATTAGGGGCGCCGGGTCAGCCCTCGCCACACAAAGCCGCCGGTCCAGCCGGTGGGAACGCGTCGGTGCCGGCTCCGCTGCTCCCACCCACCGGGGGAGTCCCGGTCATCCACACTGCAGCCCCCCCAGTGCAGCTCCCAGAGCCCCGGTCATCCCCCCCAGTATCATTTCCAGGGTCCCCAGCCCACTGGGGAGCGCCGGTCACCCCCACCCCAGGCCCTGGCGCTGGCTCTGCAGCTCCTGGCACAGCACCCTGGTGGCACTGACACAGCCAACAGCCCCCAGCCACCAATCCAGAGGGGACACGGCCATGGGATGGCAGCGCTGGCCCCAAATGCGACTCATCCCCGTTAACCCGTGTGGGGGGGTGACATGGGGTAGGGGTGGCGGGCAGGGGGGGCCAAGTCCCACTCGCGCCCATCCCAGCGCTGACACTGTCCCCACGCCCCAGCTGGGATTAGCACTAATGGGATTTACCATTTCATCCAATATTCCCCTAAAGATGAGCCTGGGAAGGGGGGAGCCCCCCTTGCCCCCTGCCAGCCCCACCTCACCCCCCCCCCATTCCGTTAAGCTCTTTCTAATTAAAGCCAGCCCGGAGCTGTCCATCACTGTCCCCTCCGCGGGACCCCCACGCTGGGGGGGCTGCGGAAGAAGAGACGAGGGGCAGCGCTACATAAAACATGTTTAATATCCAAGGGGGGGTCAGGGGAGGTCACCCACCGTCTCAGGCGCAGGGGGCTGGGAGGGGGGGCTGAGAACACACGTCCCTGGACAGGGCAGAGCCGCAGCGACACGTCACACCAAGCACAGACCAGGGGTATAAATACGGTGCTGGGGAGGGGGGCACAGTACGGGCTGGGGTGGGGGGACACCATCTGTCCGTGAGGGGCAGGGACATACAATCACTATGCTGGCATGGGGCGGGGGGGCAGGCGGCCAGGACGAGGGGGGGGGGGGGAGGGCCAGGGGGGCCCCAGGGGGCCCGGCAGGGCCCCCCCC